AAATCAGTGATAAAATGCTAAACAATTGTCATATCATTACTAAATCTGATGATTATTTGCACTGTTTTTGGCCTAAATGTCAATACAAGACAATAATGAAAAAGCATTTAACTCAACATTTATTAATTCATTCAGGATTAAGGCAATTTAAATGTGATTTTAATAATTGTAATAAAGTTTTTGTAACTAATTCAAATTTAATTCGACACAAAAATAGCATTCATTCAAATGTGAGATTTATTTGTGATTTCAATGAATGCCACAAAAGTTTTTCACGAAAAGGAGATTTATTTCAACACAAAAGTTGTGTTCATTTGAATGAATGGAAATTCAAATGTAATGAAAAAAATTGTGGCAAAATATTCACTACAAATCAAACTTTAATTTTACACAAACGCATACATTCGGGAGAAAAGCCCTTTATTTGTGATATCAATGATTGCAACAAAAGCTTTACTGATAAAAATAATTTATTTCGACACAAAAGTTGTGTTCATTTGAATGAAAGTAAATTCAAATGTAATGAAGAAAATTGTGGCAAAAGTTTTCGCCAGAAATCAAATCTCAAAGAACACATGAGAAGACATCTGAATATAAAACTTCATAAATGTATTCATAATAACTGTAATCAACGGTTTGTTACGAGATCTGAATTGCGATTACATGTGAAACGTATTCATTAAAGTTTTAACAACTAAATATAATAATTAATTAATTTCATTTTTTTAATTATTATTTATACATTATTGTTATTAATAATGATGTTTTAAATACTACAATTATTTATAAATTTAACAGTTCATTTTTTATTTTAATTAATTTGTAAAACTTAATAAAGTGAATTTAAGATTTATTAAATGACAAATAAAATCATTTTGAATACAAAAGTATATTCAGATTATTTATAGCAAATGCCACGATTATTATATCACCTTGATCATAGCAAACAAAGCAAACAAATTAAGCGTGTTAACAATTTGTGTTGTATTTATAACAAACATTATTATGCATAATATTATTTATTGCTAAATCTACCTAATAATTAGCGTAATTATTATAATTTAATTATAATTAAACTTGTTACTTATTTGTTCGAGCTTAAAGTCCATGGGTGTGCTGAGTCTCCTCCAGCGCGCCTTAACCTTATCAAACGCCGTGTGTATTACACTTCGAGCTTTATCATGGTATTTATTAAAATGAACATGATCGCGTGCCATATTGTACTATATAAGTTATCAGTGATAACATGGTGACAATATTTGGTAAACAGGTTTTCACTATCAATGAGAGCACATGTTGTAAATGATTTGAATTTTTAGTCATTTTGTGATTTACGATTTCATCTTTTGAACAGTATTTAATTTATCTCTAATTTATTCAATTTATATTTATTTATAAATGTGTTCAAAATTAATGAGTATTTCATTTAATAAAATGAAGAGTAAATTAAATGCAATGAAGAGTTTGTGTGAAATAATAGACAAAATTCAGTGTATTTTGAATACAAATAATAGTGTTTTGTGTGAAGCGATTGAATGCGAAAATAATGATTATTTTTCAATCAATCAAACAATTGATTGCAATTCATGTAAAATCAGTGATAAAATGCTAAACAATTGTCATATCATTACTAAATCTGATGATCATTTACACTGTTTTCCACAGGCCAAGAATCACAATCATTTAATTGGTCAGGAATCATTTGATTTACATACAAAACAATTTAAATGTGATTTTAATAATTGTAATAAAAGTTATAAACAAAAATGTCATTTAAATCGACACAAAAATATTCATTTAAATGTGAGATTTATTTGCGATTTCAATGAATGCCACCAAACTTTTTCACAAAAACAGGATTTATTTCGACACAAAAGTTGTGTTCATTTGAATGAAAGGAAATTTAAATGTAATGAAGAAAATTGTGACAAAAAATTTAATACAAAATATAAACTCAATTCACACAAACGAATACATTCGGGAGAAAAGCCGTATGTTTGTAATTTCATTAATTGTAACAAAAGTTACAAATATTTGTGGTCTTTATCTGATCACAAAAAGAGATGTCATCTAAATATCAAGTGACTGTAAAAATGCTTTATCACTAAAACTCAATTAACAAGACATACATGTATTAATAGAATGCATTACAATTATTAAATCATGTTAATAAATTTTATAACTCATGTTTACTAAATCATTTCTATGTAAAATTACAATTATTAATTAATAAAATACACATGTAATTTATAAATTATAAATATAGCTTTTATTTTAAAATTACAATAAATCATTTTAAAATTGTTTATTAAACATAGATATGCTTAAAATGACAATAATTGTTCATGGTGAAATACACATTTAATGAGATGTATGAAAATATTGTTTGAGTGCATCCCTGGCCTCTATGGAGAACTGGTCGGCATTTCGATCATTATTGCGAAACAATGGCTGACTATAAACGCGATCCGTTTGTAAATCTCTTATCCATTTTGGATCGATTCGGCACTTATTCTCATCGCACAGATTATTCATAGCGAATGCCACGATTATTACATCACCTTGGTCAAAGCAAACAAAAATAAGTGTGTTAACAATTTGTGTTGTATTTATAACAAACATTATCATTTATGGTCAAATCTACCTAAAAATTATCTGTTATATAAAATCTTTATTTACATATATTTAAGAATAATCAGGGTAATTATTTAGAGTTAAAATTTAATTATAATTAAACTTGTTACTTATTTGCTCGAGCTTAAAGTCCATGGGTGTGCTGAGTCGCCTCCAGCGTGCCTTAACCCTATCAAACGCCGTATGTATTACACTTCGAGCTTTATCATGATGTTTATTGAAATGTACTTGGTCGCGTGGCATATTGTACTCGTACAAGTAGGGCTTAATTAACCATGGTTTTAATTGAAAAGCGCTGTCGCCCAGCAGGTGATAGTTCACCAGGGTATTATTATTGAAACGCCTTGATGATTTGGGGAACAGGGTAAATTTGTCACACTGTTTAAATATGTCCGTTTGACTGAACGCCCCGCTGTCGCTACAGTCGCCAGGGATACCGGCGTTTACATAATAGACCTAGGTGAGAATTAAATAGTTATTATTATTGTAATTAGATCATTTTTAGGATTTATTGTAGTTACTATAATTTTAATTAGACTATTAGCTATTATAACTGATAACTAGTATTTAAATAACAAACAATTAACCTTGCTATTAGCATCGGATACGGCCAATGCTACCACTGAGTACCAGCCCTTATAGTTACAAAAATAATGAGCCTGCTCCTTTGGGGTTTGTATTGGAAAATGTATGGCATCGATGCATCCGACGGCCATCGGGTAATCAAACCTGTGCTCAAACTCGTGGGATATTTGTTTAAACTGGTCGTGTGTGGGTAGTACTATGTGTTTATCAACAAGGTTATTTACGGCAGCTTGCACAAATAATTCAAAACATTTGTATACGTATAATATTCTTATGTCGAATATTCTGGCAATAGTTTTATAGTCATTATTTGATGATAAGACCTATGGATGTAAAATGTTTTTAATAATTTTTTGTTAATAATTGATTATGTTCATGTTTATATTATTTACAGTTAGCGCGATGGCCAGCATTTTATCTGGTTGCATTTTAGTGAACATTGTATTATTGCCGTTAATCTCCATCTCTTTGCCCACTAGAGATAGGATGTAGTAAAATGTTTTACGATTAACCCTCATGTGTTCAAGAAATGTATGGTCAGTTTGTTTGGGCACTAGTACTTCCCAATAGGCGTTTGCTGACCTTGATACTCTGTTTGTTGGTCTTGATTTATCATGATGATTTCCGTTACTATTACTGTCAGTACTAATTGTGTCGTTAATATTATTAATGTTATCATTATTTCCATTATGGTTCTTTGTATAAATATTATTAATATTATTATTAATATTACTATTATTGGTGTTTGTATCAGAATTATTAGTACTATTAGCGTTATTAATATTATTGTGAGTATCATTAATTTGTTTACCAAGAATATTCTTAAAGACAATATTATTATTTGATTCCCTAATAAATAAAAAATTATATTTTAAATTCACGATAATATTACTTAAATCACGTGTTATAATCAAAATTACTTGAGCTTGGCAATTTCCCGTTCAGTCTCATCAATTCTAATTAATAATTCGCATATATTGATAGTGTTTTTTAGCACGATGTTGTGCTTTTTGGCCTCATACATACAATATACGTAAACTAGATCAGAGTATTTGTCGATTAGTTCAACTATGCTAGATTTAAGATCATCGAGACTCATCATATATAAAATTATTGCTTCAACAATTTATTTATACATGGTTGAAATGTAATGTTTTTATCGATAATGATCATTAGCATACAGTATTTTCATAATGGTTACACGTTTACTATGTATTATTCTGTTGGATTAGTTTTTACATTGTTTTTTAATGATGAATTTAATTGTAAAACAATTTATAATAATGTTCATTAGAATTGTATTTGTTTTATAGATAAACAAATGACAAAAAACACATTTGATTTACAAAATTATGCATAAAAAGTGTCTACTTTTTTATGGGTAATTTTGATGACATTTTTAACAATAATTATATTTATACTCAATAATGAACACCAGGTTTTGGGTTTGTTTTTATATTAAACTTTATCCGAAATAATTAGTATATAAATTAAATTATTGTAATTAAAACTTACAATTTTAATTATATTAAGTTGATTTTTAACAGTTACTTTTATTATACAAATTATTAATCATGTATAATTAATAATAATGCATGATTAATAGTTTCAAATTAACATTACTTAAAATTATTATTTAATAATTAGTTCCAAGTCTTTGGATCCGTATTTGTCTTTGTTTTCATTGAAAAATTGTCGCAAACTATCGATATATCGGTCGTGGAGTTCATTGATCTGTTCGGCCGACGGGTTGTCTACTTTGGCCACTGGTATAGGCTTTCCCACTAAATAATAAATAACATTAATGTAAGTTAAAATATTAACCTAGAATTAAAATATAACAATGAGTATAGTTTACCAATTGTAGTGATGGGACGTCTGAAGGGGAGCAGAGATGTGGTCACGGGTTGAGTGAATGCAAACTTCTTGAGCAGCCATTCCTGGTATCGACGGAACCGACTGCTCGGTGGGAACACTATCTGCTCGTAGACCTCGTTCTCGCCAAACGAGAGCACCGGTACCAGAGATGTGCTGTGCATTCATTGGTAGTAATGTATATTAATTTACCAATTAGTTACTTATATAGTGGAATAATTATGTGTAATGCTATTATGTACTATCTTATGATGATAATATAAATCATTGTGGTAAATGTGTTCATAATTACCCTGTTGTCAACGCTATCCTGGCAAAGCCCTTGCGATTTTTGAGATACAGGATCATTGTGTTGGGAATAGCCTCCAGGGATTCCCGGCCGCCGCCTACTACTATCACAACCGCCTGACCCCTACACCCTCTATAAATAATAATTAAAAACAATATTATTTGCTCAAAACTCTCTCTCTCTCTCTCTCTCTCTCTCTCTCTCTCGCAATTAAAACCTTATACTCTTAATACACACCTTAAACACCATTCAATGCTTTGTTGAGTAGAGTTAATTAGACCTAGATGAGATATGATGAGATAACAAGAAAGTTAAAAATATACCCTAGCACAAACATGTAATATTACTAAAATATATTTACCGTATTAATAATACAGTATATATTACCTCCCATAAGCATCATATCCCTATGGAAAGGGATCCAAAAATGAACGCCCAGAGTAACAACTCTAAGCTCCAGCCCTTTGAACATGGTTAGAAAGCCAGACCTTTGATAGAAAAAGTTGCCCATGATCGCTTGGACTAATACACCATGTGGGTGAGAAATGAATAGATAGTTTTGACCGGGATCTAAGTCTTGAGTTTTAATTAATTGAAGTGGAAAATATGAGACAAAGTATTGCCATATCGGTAGTGTCCGGAACCATTTACTCGGCCTACCACCTAACCAACCATAATCAATTAGATAATGCATTATTATTGCTTTATAAATTAATCATGACAACATACCCCGATTAGCGGTATCTTTGTCAAAATAGATATATGCAAAATATACCAAGGTGATGTAATAATATGGTGTAAATAGAAGATAGATGAATAGTATACCGAATAATAATCCATCAAGACAGAATACAATGTTCTGTGAATATAATACAACCACAGATTGTATGTACTGTTCAATAAATTTCCATATTTTGTCCATGGTTAGTTGAATTATACATGGAGGTAATTTAAATAATCTTGATTTATTGAAATATTTCTATTATCTTCAATAAAAGTTATTTAAATGTTATTATTTAAAATTGTTTTGTTGTCATTAGAAGTAAATAAGTGTTGATTAAAATTTCAAAACAGATGTGTTAAAGGAATTTTAATTAAATTTATATAAAATTTAATACAGTATTATAAAAATCTTATATTTTATTTTGAAATAATTTATATGATATAAATTTACAATTAATTCATAAATACAGTAAATGTTGCAGTTTATTAAAAATACATGTACACTGATTTAATACTAATAAATGCAAGCATCATAAAATACTTCAATAATTATTAGTTTTCTCTATAAAGTCGTAGAAACTGGGTATAAATTTTTAAAAAATTATATTAATTAAAAATGTTTAGTTTTATTTTATAGTCTGAAAACGTGCGAGTTTTAAGTTGATTTCATATTCTCTATGCCACCCTAAACGGGTTTAAATTAATTAATATTTATGTTATATTTAATTTAGTCATGATATGCTGTAATTCATGAGTTTAGCATGTAGAAATATAAACATAATACAATTAGATATAACAGGAATTTAATTAGATTTAAGTCTATTTAACAGATAATTTATTTTTAATGTAATTCAGAGTAATCTATAGAATTCGTTTCACATGTGACCCATTTTTTAGCTACCTAAAATTTGAAACGCCCATTATGTAGAGCATTAAAAAGTAGAATAGGAATGTAATATTAAGAAAAAATTTTATGTTGGAATTTTCGAGATAATGGCCATAATTTAGTCATGATATGCTGTAATTCATGAGTTTAGCATGTAGAAATATAAACATAATACAATTAGATATAACAGGAATTTAATTAGATTTAAGTCTATTTAACAGATAATTTATTTTTAATGTAAGATAGATTTAATTTATTATTAAATAAATTAATTATAAAACTATTTTTAATTGATAATTAACTCCAAGTCTTTGGATCCGTATTTGTCTTTATTTTCATTAAATAATTGTCGCAAACTATCGATATATCGGTCGTGAAGTTCATTGATCTGTTTGGCCGACGGGTTGGCTATTTTGGTCACCGGTATAGCCATTCCCACTAAAATTATTATGTTTTAAAAATATATATAATAAATAATTTTTAAATTAAAAAATGTGGTAATAATTTAAGGTATTTTACCGATCGTATTGATAGGGTGTCTGATAGGCAGATAAGTGGTGGGCACGGGTTGAGTGAATCCAAACGTTTTCAACAGCCATTCCTGGTATCGACGGAACCGTGAGTTCGGTTCAAACACTTTCTGTTCAAAGATCTCATTCTCGCCAAATGAGAGCACCGGTACCAGAGATGTGCTGCCATTATGTCATTAACAATTCATTACATTATTATTATTAGTGATGTATAATAATGTAGGATATTATCTTTATCCTAATTCACTTTGTGGTATAGTATAAAAATATTAATAATTAAATAAACAATTACCCCGTTGTGAGGGCTATTTTGACGAATCCCTTGCGATTTTTGAGATACAAGTTCATAGTGTTGGGAATGGCATCGAGCACTTCACGTGAACCTCCCACTGAAAATGCCACCACTTGTCCGGTGCCCTCTTTGCCCCTATGTAAATTAATAATTTATTATTAATGACATAATAATAATAATTACACATTTGATACATGGTAAATATAGAGATTAATATTTTAAAACATAATCATCACTTAATACACACCTTAAACACCATTCAATGCTGCGCTTACTAACGGAGATAAAGCCTGAAATTTACATAAACATAATGGTCAAAAATTATACTGTCTATAAATAAATGTATGAAATATAACCTAGCAACATTGCCACCTCCCGGTGCAGAGGTAGCCTAAATAATGCATCGATTGCCGCGAATCGACTGTTGAGGCCCTCAAAAATGGTGGCAAAACCGGTCCGTTGGAGCGCAAAGTGGCCCACAAATGATAGTGACATGAGTCCGTGCGGGTGGCAAATAAACATATAATTTTGACCAGGGTCCAAGTCCTGGGTTTTAATTAGTTTCATTGGAAAATAATCGGTAAAATATTTGACGAATGGTGAATTCCGGAGCCAATTACACGGACGACCGCCTAAATTAATCATGATGGTTTTATTGTACATGTATTTATTTATTTAAATAATTTAACCACTTGTATATTTTACATACCACGGTTTGGTGTGTGTCTGTCGCTGTACATGAATGCAAAATACATCATGCTCACGTAATAATATGGCGTGAATAGCATGTATATGCATATTATACCACATGTTAGGCCAACTATTGGGCTTAATTTGTTTATGACATATAGTCCGGCCAGGGTTTGAAAAGATAGCTCAATTGAGCTTGATGTATCAACCATGTTTATTTACCAATTGATCATGCTTTTAGTATGTAAACAAAAATTTTACTACAAAATAATAAATACAGTCTACTATTAGTCAGTAACGAAAATATTATATAAGATAAATAAGGTTTTAGTAATAACTTACTACTATATAATTTATTAATTAGTAACTAAGTAGATAGTGAAACAGATTATAGTCACCACGTTATTAAATTAGTTGATTGCGTCAAATGCTCATGGTGTTTATTTAGACAAAACATGCATTTATTCTTAACAACGTTAATAAAAATATTGCAAAATTATTTATTAAATATTTTACCCAAATTATTGTAGTTTTGTTGAGAGAGATATGTAGTAGTATTTTGTAGTAACGTTAATATGAAAATATATTTCAAAAAACACCTACTATATTTTATCAAAACATAGTTGACTTTGATTTAACTGCAATATTAAATAATTAATTAATGTACTTATAATCACTATTATTGTTATATTTTAGTGCAAAAAGTACGTTTAATCAAATATTTACTATTTTATTTTATTAATACCTTTATAAAATATAAAGACAAGCAATATTAAATGTTAAGTGTGATAAACTGTGAATATAATATTAATTAAAATATTTTTCATATTACCTTGTGATAAAATGTTAACGTGATTTAGCACGTAATGTCATTAACGCTATTACTTTATAATCCTTGAAATTAATGTTTATTAAATCTGGATTAAAAATTCAGATTAAAAATTTTACATTTTTATGCAATTAACTTAATTTTTTTTAACTATGTCGTAATTTTAGAATTTATCATATATTTTTCTTAATTATAAAAATATATTTAAATTTTACAGCGATTTTATGTGTATTTTATTATTTTCTAGACAATTCTTACTTTTTTTTACTACTAAAGAGATTTATGTTTATTTAACTCAAATGTCAATTGAAATAAATAATTATTTGATAATGAGTTTCAAGTCTTTGGATCCGTATTTGTCTTTGTTTTCATTGAATAATTGCCGCAAACTATCGATATATCGGTCGTGGAGTTCATTGATTTGTTCGGCCGACGGGTTGTCCACTTTGGCCACTGTTATAGGCTTTCCCACTAAAAATATTATATAACATAAATGTTTTAAAAATAAATAATATAAAATTTGTCAATTAAAAAATGAAATAATTAAAAGTATTTTACCGATTGTATTGATGGGGTGTCTGAAAGGCAGATAAGTGGTGGGCACGGGTTGAGTGCATCCAAACGTTTTCAACAGCCATTCCTGGTATCGACGGAACCGNAATAAATAATATAAAATTTGTCAATTAAAAAATGAAATAATTAAAAGTATTTTACCGATTGTATTGATGGGGTGTCTGAAAGGCAGATAAGTGGTGGGCACGGGTTGAGTGCATCCAAACGTTTTCAACAGCCATTCCTGGTATCGACGGAACCGTGAGTTCGGTTCAAACACTTTCTGCTCAAAGATCTCATTCTCGCCAAACGAGAGCACCGGTACCAGAGATGTGCTGCCATTATGTTATTAGTTTATTAACAATAAATTACAGTACATAATAATCATAATTATCTAGTTTAATTAACAAATAATAGTTTTATTACTACTTACCCCGTTGTGATTGCTATATTGATAAATCCCTTGCGATTTTTGAGATACAAATTCATCGTGTTTGGATTTGCATCGAGCACTTCACGTGAGCCCCCGACTACAAGTGCTACCACTTGACCCGTTCCCTCTTTGCCACTGTAATTATTCAAATCAATTATTACAGATTCTCTCTCTCTCTCTCTCTCTCTCTCTCTCTCTCTTTCTCTCTATATAATACTGTATATACCTTAAACACCATTCAATGCTGCGCCTACTCGCGATCTCTCTCTTTCTCTCTCTCTCTCTCTCTCTCTCTCTTTCTCACTATATAATACTGTATATACCTTAAACACCATTCAATGCTGCGCCTACTCGCGGCGATTGCACCTGAAATGTATAATAAATAAGCTAGTTAAAATTGTATTGGCTCACAAATTACTTATTTTATTATTTAATCTACTGGTAAATCTAACCTAGCATCATTGCCACTTCCCTATGGAAAGGGAACCGGAATTGCATATCTATTGTAGCGAATCGACTGTTGAGGCCCTTGAAAATGGTGGCAAATCCGGTCCGTTGAACGAGAAAGTGGCCAATAAATGATAGCGACATCAGTCCGTGCGGGTGGCAAACAAACATGTAATTTTGACCAGGGTCCAAGTCTTGGGTTTTAATTAACTTCATGGGAAAATAATCAGCAAAATGTTTAAATAAGACTGCATTCCTGAGCCAATAACACGGACGACCACCTTAGTAAGCATGATAGTTTTAATAATATTTAATTACTCTTGGTTATTTTATAATAAGCCTACTATTTAGCTTAGTGTATACATACCCCGGTTTGGACTGTCTCGGTCAATGTACATAAAGATGAAATACAGCAATGTGATATAATAATATGATGTAAATAGCATGTACATCAATATTATACCAGAAATTATGCCAAATGTAGGAATTAATTTATTTAAAATATATAAACCTCCCAGCGTTTGAAAGAATCGCTGAATTGAGCTAGATGTTTGAGTCATATTTTATTTCTAAATGGTTCAGGCTGATTAAATAAAATTTATTCTAAATTAAAATTGTGCTAAAGATGTTGATTACGGCAATCTAGAATACAATTGAGCCACAATACTGTATAATTATATTTGCAACAGTAATATTAGCAACAAAAATTGTTCTTGCCAAGTCTGGAATGCAGTTTGTATATAAAATAATGACAATTTTACAATATTTGAGTTTTATTTTTAAAATATTCAATAATCAGTTGTACTAAAAACACTTGAATATTAAATGTTATGATTTGTAAAATGCTTCATTGTAACTTTTAAACAAAATATTCATTATTTGTACATCTGTTTATAAATTTTTATCAAAATTTCTGCAACCTTTATTGTAATTTAATTTAATTTTTATATATTTGTAAATTTTATAAAAATATTGTATATATTTTATAAAATTTTCTTACACTACATAACACTGTAAAATTTAATTTATATAATAATTTTTAATTAGACTAAAAATAATAATTGATTTATCTTGCATTTACGTTTAGTTTAACATTTTTATGACACATAAAATGCTAAAACAATTATTTAATGGTTAGTTTCAAGTCTTTGGATCCATATTTATCTTTATTTTCATTAAATAATTGCCGCAAACTATCAATATATCTGTCGTGGAGTTCATTGATCTGTTCGGCCGACGGTTTGTCCACTTTTGCCACTGGTATAGGCTTTCCCACTAAATCATAAATAATATTATTGTTTTAAAATATATCTTATAAACAAATAAAATAAAATTTTTAATAGAAAAATAAAAGTAAGCACTTTATGCTATAAACAAAAAACATATCATTACAAGTAATTAATAAAACAGATAATTATTAGTAATTATTTATTACCGACTGTTGTGATGGGGTGTCTGATGGGGAGCAGGGATTTGGGCACCGGTTGAGTGCATCCAAACGTTTTTAACATCCATTCCTGGTATCGACGGAACCGTGAGTTCGGTGCAAACGCTTTCTGCTCGAAGACTTCATTCTCGCCAAACGAGAGCACCGGTACCAGAGATGTGCTGCCAATCAGTAGGGTATTAAGCATTTCGTAATTCATGAAGATTATTTTGGTTACCACAATGTTTATATAGATCAGAGTTTACAATGATTATAGTTATTCTATTTGTATTAATAATTAATTGCAATTACCCCGTTGTGAGGGCTATTTTGACAAAACCCTTACGATTTTTGAGACACAGGTTCATTGTGTTTGGATGCGCGTCCAATACTTCACGCCCGCCCCCGACTACCAGTGCTACCACTTGTCCTCCTTTGTTACCTTCTTTACTACTGATAATTATTTAAATAAATTATAACTTATTATTATAAACAGTAACCGGCAATTACTCATAATTCCAACCAATTCTCTATGTAAACTCAATGCATTGAATGTTCCTGGGTACATTCAATGCCGGTTGTAGATTATAAACATCTCTCTCTCTCTCTCTCTCTCTCTCTCTCTCTCTCTAACTTTATCATTGATGTCATATCTATATTTATTTATAATTTAATTCTTAACAAGATTGTATACATGAAGCAAAAGTAAATGTAAACTTATAAACAGGTTTATCATTACGTAATTTAAAATAAATAAAACTTTGATAAATTAATTAAAAAAATATCCATTATATTAGTTACACAAATAATACATACCTTAAACACCACTCAATACTTTGCCTGTTGGCGGCGATTACACCTGAATTTGAAATAATTTAAACAAGATACTACTGTAATCAGTTTCATACACAAAACATTAAGATGATTACCCATCGCGAGTGCAAATTCCCGATGAATAGGGAACCAGAATTGAATGTCTAGACTAACAAACCGGACGAATAGGCCCTTAAACATGGTGGCAAAACCGGTTCGTTGCAGTGCAAAGTGGCCCACAAATGATAGCGACAGTAGTCCGTGCGGGTGGCAAATAAAGAAATAATTTTTACCCGGATCCAAATCATGGGTTTTCACCAGTTTCATTGGAAAATAGTCGGCAAACCATTTAAAAATGAATAGATTTCGCCACATGTAAAACCCACGGCCGCCTAAGTAATGATGGTAGTTTATTTTTAGTCAATTTTAATTAGTTAGCTAGTTACAACAATATAATATTGTTAATTTTGAACATACCCCGGCTTGGTGTGTGCCTGTCCAGGTACATGTAAGCAAAATAGAGCAAGCTGATGTAGTAATACGGCGTGAATAGGATGTAGATTAATAATATAGCAAAAAATATGCCATTCATAGGAACCACCTTGTTCATTATATAAAACCCTGCCAGCGCTTGCAAGCACCGCATGATTAAACCCGCTGAGTTAGCCATGTTGTGTTCCCAATTTGATCCTGATGTTTATTTATAAAAATGTAATTTTAACGATAAGGTGGATGTTTTTGTAAATAACCTAGTTATGAAAATGTTAGGAACAATGATGATAATATAATAGTGTTTTATTAATTGCAAACAAAACTTATGAATATATTAAATGTTATGATTAGTAATTTAATTTATTTTATATTTTAAATTATTGTAGTTTTCCGGCAAAAAATATGTTGTTTTTACGAATTTGAAACAAAATTATTAAAAAATAAAACAAAATTTGTTTTGTATTTTACTTTAATATTCAACTGTTATTTAATTGTCATATATTTGTAGTATTAGTATATTTAGTACGTTTAGTATATAATCTACAATATATGAAGAATATAAAATATTCTAGTATTTATTTTATATACAGTATATTTATAAAATATTATTAAATTTTATAAAATATATAAAATATAAAAATGTATATAAAATAAATACTGACAAGATTTCTGATATGATTATAATAATATTTTAAAAGTTACCTTTAACAAATATTTATAATTGTTGATATTGCACCGTTCATAAAGGTACCTGTTAATACTTGGGTTACTTTGGTTAGCCAAAACACTAGTTATGTAACAGACATTAAATCGCAGTTAAACGCAAATGTCTGGGTATTAAACCTGAGGCAATACATTATATAACTTTTAAATAGACAACAAAATGAATATATATATTAGTTATATAAACATGAAAGTTTGCATTACATACTTAAAACATAAGCTTTTTCATCAACTTAATCATTATGATGTTATTATCAGATATAATTGTCATAAGCATACTAATGCTCAAGGTCTATTAAGTTTTATAATTTTTTATTTAATGCAAATTTATAAATATAATCAATCAATAATTATTATTTCTCTATGTATTATGTATGTAAATTATAATTTATAATTCTTATTACATTATTAAAATACGTAAATTACACACAATATATAAAACTTTATTTACAACATACAATATTGTGATAATAACAATAATATTTTAAATGTTATTTTGTACTGGTTGAATTATTTTTTACTGTATATGTCAATTATAACAGGGATTATAAAATGTATTTTTAAATAAATATCTGCATACATATGATAATAGTTAACTTATATTGTAATAAGAACCCTAGGAGGGTTTATAAGATATTTGTAATTTGCAAATAGTAATTAGCACTTAATCAAGTAATATAATGTCTATAACTATACATTTTGATGAATTTGATAACTATCACTGTGCTACACTTAATTTCAAAACAATCTTTAAACATTAGAATCAGAAAATTCTTTTAGATTTTGATTCCCCTCCTTAAAATATATCCAATATTATATGATATAATAGAGTATATTATATAGAGTCTATTAAATAGACTGTTATTATTTATCAAATACAAACATTTAAATATTTAAATAATCATCATGAATAATGAACTATTGAATTAACACAACTACTATTTAATTAAATGCAATGTAATGTGAATCTTTAGATAACATAATAATCTGCATTACATTACACAATTTACAGTACATATCCATAGATAATAGAAATAATTAATGTAAAAGTTAACGGACTTTTGTGCGATAATATTTTGTAATAATAATGTCACAAAATAGACTAACAGTACTATTCGTAACGTTCACTGACATGGAGTGCGTGGAGACTAGACTGACCAACTCAAAAATTGTAATACCGGGACATTTTTTAAAAAACAGGTAAAAATTCCGGGACATTCCTTGACAATTTAATTAACTCGCCTTGACATTCACCTTGACACTTGTTTTTCAATAATATTGTCTGGATACATGTTAGCACAAATTAATTTTCATTATTTATTGAATCAGCACAATTTTACTTATTTAAAATGTTTAAGGTGCATATTTATGGAATTATTATCGGAATAATTTTATTCAGTAAAGAAATAAGTGTCTCAATTATATAATTATCAGTTGTCTAATAAAAGCCTTCTTTAAATCCATGTTGAATTTTGTAATTTATTATAGTATACTAATTTTAATAAAATAAATTGTATGCACGACATATCACATGTTTAGTTATGTAATTTGTGCTTATTTGCATTAATATATTGCTAGAATGTTAGAAATCAACAATATAAAATGCTAAACTATGTAAACCAATTTATGCCCAGGCCTAGTTTTTATTCTATTTGAAAATATAAATTAAACTAAGGCACTTATATAGAAATATTCATTTTTAAATGTATAATTTATCACTATCTTAAAGGATTACTATGTCAAATGATTAATAACCTATTATTATTACAATAATTTGTTAAAATAATAACTAAAATATTAAAAATAATAGTATATTTGAAATTTATTTTGTTCATCTTTTGGCCTGGACGTTATATTGTCAAGGTGGGACCCTCGCCTTGACACTGGACAGAATGTTCAAAACCTTGACTGTCAAGGCCAAACCTTGACGGTTGGTCACTCTAGAGACGGCCGCAGCTATGGGCGAGACTCTGGCGATGGCCGGCGGCGGAGGCGATCATCGGCCGGTCGTACTGACCGACTATAAACTCCGGGACAGACTGTACGCAAAGCACCCGACAATCCGCTGGATAGTGACCGACACGAGCGTAGAGTCGGGCGACGAGTCGGACACCCAATCGGAAGTGTGGGAACGACTTGACTCACTGGTCGACCGGGCGCTCATCGAGTATCGGCCGGCGGTTATAGTTGTCGACTCGACCCGAGACTTGCCATCAGTCGCGCGCTCAGGCGTGCCCTGGATTTTGCTGAATACCAACAAACAGTCGTTGCTTGTCGTCAACAACAAATACGCTTATGATCTTCCCTTAGGTATATATATACAGCGCTCGAGTAAAGTGAGGGTAGAATCGGGTAAATGCGGGTATTCTGTAGTGATTTATTTTCATTGGTATGCATTCAGACATTTTTTATTTAAATTGAGTGGCGCAATGTTTGTATTAATAAATGTATCTATTTAAATTTAACGTATGTAAAAATGTAGCCAAAAAATTACCTTTCAAATTCATGTTTTTTAGCAATGATCTCCACCACTACAATGAATGTATCAGGGACATTTTTGTGTAAAACATTTACTTTTTGCCAATCATTATAGAAATTGAAGCCCCTGTGGGCCGAACCAAGCGATTGGAGATTCACATCACCGATGAATCGATAAATGATTTATCGGACAAATTAGCGCACATTGCGGACAGAATCGGGAGGTTTAATAGTATCACCGAATTTCCCAAATTAATTCAATACATTGTATGTTAAGTGAATTTTTATTCGTTTTATTAAATGTACATTTACAATTCATAACAGTTATTTAATTAAAATTGTAATACACTAATCATAGGTTGGTTTATCGGTAAACACAGCTATAATGACCGGCAATGAGCACAATAACCGCCGGTATCGTTACGTGTCGGCCATCACTGGCCACACACTGGTCTACGCGAAGGATCTATTCATTTCGGACCCGAATCTGCGTTACAGTAAATATCGTAATCTACGGCACCTGACTATCCGTCCCACAGACATATGGCTGTGCGGATACCCCAAGTCGGGCAACATATGGTTGTCTGAGATCGTGTCCCTCATTATGGCCAACGGTGTAGTGGACGACATGAGGGGTAGGGATATAATGAGTGAGATTGAGAGCAAAGCTGATCCCAGGATTTTCACTTCACACCTCAACCCTCGATATTTGTCGCCCAGTATTGCGACCGTTGGAAAAGTGAGTGAATTAGAGAGAGAGATGCAGACGTCCTTCGGGTTACGCATTATAAAAATCAGCTGACGTGGAGAACATAATGAGCATGGTAATTTTTATTATTATAATTCTCTCTC